CCGATTATGTATTGATTTGTCTTACGTATTTAAATACCTAAACAATAAAAAATATTTTTAAGAGTTAAGCTAATGAAGTTATTTCTTAGCACCGGATATGGCCGGTTTTTCTTTATAATTAGTTGTTAGCAGTTTGATAAAACTAGGAAAAAAACTTCAGTTATTGAGAATATTCAGTTGAGATTTTGTACTTTTCTCAATTCAGAAAGCGGCTCTTTGTCGACATTTTTTCTTGTCAGACGCTTTTAAGATACCTAAGTGTAGTGCATATCATTAACTCTAAGGTAGCAATCCATTTTACTTGAAACAATTTACATGTAGTAAGAGTAAGTGGTTGAAACCATAATCGGGAATGATCATATTCCCGATTAAGGTTCATATTCCATTTTAAGTCTGATCTTTTTATTGTAAAAATATTAGAAAAGAAATAAATTGACCATAAACACAATTGAAATATGTACACGAATATTGATCAATGTTTCAATTTATTCCCCGACTGTATCTGCGCTGACGTTAAAAATGAAACTACCTAATTATGAAAAAAAATTGTTCGTGCAATAACGAATATTCTACTTATCTAGAGGTCGCGATAGTTCTTCTTCCTCTGCTTCTCTATTTGTTTAGATTAGATGAAATTGATTTTATGAGTACATTATTGAGTGACGTGTCGTAGCATTAATTATAAAGATTATTATTTTGGATGGGCCGTCTACAGTTCGTAAAGAGATATTGTACGAGCATTTCAGGCGAAAGTATTTAATCCAGTGCAGTGACTATAGCGTACTGTTTATTGTTTGTTTCCGTGCCTGATATGTGCGTAGCACGGGCATAGTAATATGGCAAGGTATATTGGAAAGGGAGCTCTAATCTGAATAAAAACGAATTTTGGAAATAGTTTTAAAATAATGTTTCCGTGTAATATTTTGCATGTTCGAATATTTGCGTATGTACACATAACTAGATAAATTATTTCGCTGTACTGTGACGTAGGCACTATATCTTATATATATATATATATATATATATATTTATTTAAAATTACTAAGGAACACCTTATTTGTTACCATGGACGTTTATAGGAATTATTTATCGAAAAAAAAAAGTTTTTCTGCTCTGAAGATCAATTTTTTGCGGGTTACTACGTGTTTGTTTTCCAGCGTAGAATATATAATCTATGTACTTGTCGGCTTTTGTCTGCGATTTCATCCGCCTATATGAAGCTTCACGTTTCTAACTTCAATAATTACCGACTTCCATACAAACTGCCTTTCACCCCTCCTAACGGTCAAAATTGTTTTAACGGCAGCACAGTTCCGCGAAGACGCGGCAAATGTTTTCATCGTCGATTGAACGGAATTCAATGCGGCGAACAAAACCAACCGATCAGCAGGGCGATTCTGTAAAAAATCGAACCCGATTCGAATCCATTCATGTGTCCCGAATTCACGTCATTTAGTGAAGACATTACATTGATTCTATTTATGTATAAAAATCCAAAACAAAATTTATTATAAGTGTTTCAGATATTCTCTTCCTATCATTTTGAGATTCACTTCACTTATGCCACTAAAAATTATTACCAATTCAAAATTTGAGCGGATGCCGCTTTTTGAAGCGAATTCTGGTTTGGATTTTTACAAAATCGCCGGGCATAGCGCTAGAATTCTCGAATGCAGTTTTGGTTTCGGTCTAGCTTCGGCAGGTTTGCCACCGAAACCTAAACAAAAACTCGAACATTCGGTCGGACACTACCTACTAATATTATGAGTGTGTATGGAAGTATGTTTATTACTCTTCACGAAAAAACTACCGAACGGATTTTGATGAAATTTGGTATACGGATACTTCTGAGCGAGGATGTGAAAAAAATCTATAATTGAATTTACCTTAATACTTTGCTGGTAGAATTCCAAATCTATTGAGGAAATTTTTTATATTGTGGTAACCTGTGTAGGCGTGCGTAGCTTTGTTCTCTTTTTTCCTATAAGAAATTTGTAGTCAGTAGACGAAATTTAATATTTTGTTAGCTACGCTGAACTATAAACACTTACTTATATATATTACTTATAAATATTTTTATATTAAAATTAACTATTTGTTAACACTAAACGGAGATTTATTAATAAAATCATTAATGTTTTTAAAACAACAAAGTAAATAAACACAAGTACCACATAATTCGTGTTCAGAGTAAACATGTAAACACTGACGGCTACAGCAAATAACACGGACATTTAAAATGTAACATTTGTTCTGGTTAAATAAACAGGGCTCCAATAATCATCCTTGGAGTAGCGATTATACTGTACCTAACAAAATATTCGATTGAACGTCCTATAGTCTTGGAAGCAAAACTCGTGAAATTGTGCAGATAAAATGAGTATGTCATATGAAATTTAATAATTCGTAATAACTAAGACTGGTTTACGGTTGGCGTAAGTAGTTAATGGACCCGAGTCCATCATCTACTTTCGCATGTCAACAAGAAATTTTGACGCGTTAATCAATTGCATCATTAGCAATCTTTGTGCATAAGTCGATGAACATGCCGTGTTTTTCTTTTTCGTTGTCGCTTCTTTCTTTTTGCATAAATAATACACTGCAAGAATTTAACCACTTACAGGATTGGCCATGGCTGTATGTACTTCGCAGCTTGCGCTAATAGCTACGCTGATAGTTTCAGCTGAATGTCTGAGTCGTCAGCACGGCCTGTCAGCGTTACACTTTAAACCAGTCTAATAATATAAAGAGGAATGATTTTGATTTATTGTTTGCTTCCATGGAATGGTTTCGAAATTACAGGACCGATTTAAAAAATTATTTCACCTACATAATATGCTGGTCACATATACCGGTAAAGTCGCGAGAAAACACCTAGTTAATTTATATTTTTACATGATTTTATATCTTTTTAATATTCATATTAAACATGCTTTTTTAATGTTTTTCGTAATTTTTAAATTACGGTGATGCAATATCGTATGACGTCATAGCTTTGAACACTTTGTACATAGTAGTGCCCTAGCAAATTTAATGCATATTATCTAAAATGATCAATGTAATATTTTTCTATTATCTGACCGACGGACTAAGCAGAATTTCTGTTTTTCTACCCAGTCATCGTCTCTATTGAGACACGCTAAGGTATATTTATTCGATTCAATATAAAACAGTGACAATTTCAGACAAAATCGTCGATTCAAATACTTTGAAAAATCAAAACAGAGATGATACAGAATATTCCGTGTCCGGTATCCCGTATTACATAATGTGGTGTTCCCGCTTGTTAGGAGTTACCCCGGTGAGATTCAAAAAGTTTAGTGCGTCGGGCCAACGGATTTGCATATCACCGTGTGCGTTTCTTCTCAGCTGTATGATTATTATTGTGCTAGGTAAGATATCATCATCATGACTCTATTATTGATTCCACGTGAGCCCTAAGCTGATTCGGCTGCAACCGCGACCAGCCTTGATTAAAAAACGATGGAACAAACGACTTTATAATTGCAATAATCCTATAATAATATATAAAATAAAATTTTAGTTAACTCCCAATAAATTAAAGGAAAAAATGTAAAAACTTTTAGTTACAAGTAAAATCAAGCGCATACGTAGGTATGCTGGGTGAGAATATAGAAGACCAGATTTAAGCCATTGGCCCCTTTTAGCTTTTCTGTTGATACATGTGATGTGTCAAAAATGCCGCTATGTACCATGACCCTAAAGTTAATACTATCAGATATATTTCAACTAATCAGTACAGAACATGGACGAATTCAAAGGGAATTATCAACTGTCTAATTCAAGCGATATGTAGCTGCATAGATATTAAAATACTATGTGTATATACTAATGAAAACATTTTTAATAACAGATATTAATATATTTTTACTACCGTTCATCAATCCGAATGTTGAGCGATCGCAGATTCGTTGGGCGATACTGATGATCAACTACCTCATTATGATGTGTTGGGCGAGCGATTCTGTGTTCGGCGGAATGAAAAGGACTAGAAGGATAATTGTGTGCTTACACCGTGTCCAGAACGTAATTAATACTTGATCAATGTTATTAATAAACAAGGTTTAGCGTTGGAGTAAATTAACGTCTGAATAATATGAAATAAGTACTTAAATTGCAATTTTATCTTAAATCTAGTCTGACGCTAAACCTTGTTTATTAATTGTAATAGCACTATATCTGTTTATGAAAACAACTTAAATATAATAGCAAACATTAAAGATTGGAATTTTTAAAGTAAGCCTTCTCATTGTGGCAACGCAAAAACAAAGGCTTACTTTAATACCTAAAATATTTTGCGAGGTCGAAACGTGTTTTTGGCAAGGAAAGTTTCATAATAAAAAATCGAAGGAGACGATTATTTGTTAGGTGCATATTTCAAAAAGATATTTTTTATTTTGTGAATCTATCTAATTCTATTTTGATTTCCTAAGTCTCTGTCGCACCGAGTTTCTAGTTATATCTAAATAGTCAGTAATAAACACAAATTCAAAATTAAAAGTAGTAGTAGTCTTTCATTTATTAACATAAAATAATTGACATTTTAGATGGAGAAAATATTAAAAGATCGGTACAATATAATATTTTCGTTAAAAAAGGATGTAAAAATTTTCGTTTTCATCGGATTATCGACTCTAACTTCGGTATTGGGTTTCGTCGTTGATTGTTATGAAATTTTACAAACTAAATCTCAAGAGGACAGGTTTATTCTATGTAAGTTTACTTAGTGGACGTTTTATAATATTTTATTGGTGTTTAGGTGCACGATAAGCGAATATAATTGTGACTGAATTATATAAGATCAAAAAATTACACAAGGAGTTGAGGTTACATTTTGCTGTCTCTAATTTTTAGTGGTGATAAATATGGATGGTGATATTATTGGTGATGATATTTTTTTCACAGTAGATACTTTTCTAATTACAGTCGACGATTTGTACAACAATTCAATGTTCATGATAATGCACTTTATTGTGACGATGGCTAAATTTCAATTTACCGTCGTCTCGTTCAATATATTCAGGATAATAAGATCGATCAATGATGTGCTCGAGCAAATAGAGTTCACTTTTTCGAACGTTTATATGCTGGGTGAGTAAATATTACAGGTATTTTTGTATATTCTTCAATTCTATATGATACATTTAATATATTGATTATAGAACTCCCGTTGAACCGTAAAGTGAAGCTGACCGATGAAATGATTCACCATCTCTCGTCGCTGTACGTTTCTAGCTGTGACGCGGCGTGTATGCTGGACTCCTGCTATGGACTCAACTTGCTACTACTCCTGATGAGCTGCTTCTTGCAACTAATCACGCAGTCTTATTGGCTCTCTCAGGATCTTTGTATGTTACCTTATGTGAACTTTAACTCATCACAGCTGTTAACGGTATTAGTTTTGCTAAAATGCGTTAATTAGAACGGCTTGAAGTGGCAAATGGCCAAAAAGGGGCATTTCCCAAAACCGGGTCTTCTGCCATATCTTTGAGCTGCAGGTACTGTTTTATCATCAATGAAAGTAGTTTATGGCTCGATGTGAGCTAAATGCCAGACCTGTGTAACTGACGCTCTATTAAAGGCTTCATGCGTTCGATGCAAAATTACAGTTTTCTTACAAAATATTATCTTCATATATCTCTAGATTAGACACCGTACCACTGTTTCCCGTTTCTCTAACGACTATAGAAAATCGACAGATGAAAGGATAATCACAGAATCAAAGGCGAAATGATCGTCTTCCCTGGAGGTGCTCTTTCATAGAATTTTAAATAAGGTGCACAGTCATCTTCGGTATTCGGTGTCAGTTATCTAGAACGTTTATGTGAGGGTCCAGTTGACGCTACAAAGCATTTTTGGTGTTAGCTCCAACTAATCTAGGTATCTCATATCAAATACTTTTATGACATCAATATATCGCGATATAACAAAAATCATTTTTCTAAAAACAGAACCGATTTAAAATTTTAAAATGCTGAAAAATAATACTTATCTTAAAAACGATTAAATTTTTCAATAAATCAATCCAATATTATGGTGTCAGTAAGCTGATATGATGATGAAGTCGCAAGGTGGTCATAGGAACTTAGTGATGAAATAACGTAACTGCATCATGTTCTTTGGTACTGGATGCTTTTCAGACCAAGGTCTGATGGTGATGGAGCTGGAAAGTGGTTATAGTAGAAACTTAGCAATGAAATAATGGAGCTGCATCGTATTTGGGATCTTTAGATCCGTTTATCTGAGAACAACAACATATTGAAACAAACACCTTTCAATACAGATGCTATATCAGAAATGAATAGAAAAGAGATAAAACTACCTTGTACCTTGGTGTTTTGGTATATCCAGACGTACATATTTAGGAGTTATATTAGGTAACTCGATGTTAAATTCTAAACATTTAAAGTACTTATAATCAACATTTTCTCTAACAGCAATGGACCACCTCAGCCCATTAAGCTGGGGAATAAAAAATGATTTTTGATAATTGAATCATAATAATGGCAGAGTTATTGCTTAACAAACATCCAAAAAAATACAGTCGAATTAGAATAGAATCTCCTCCTCCTCATTTAAAAAGTAATTTATCATTATTGATTCATTAAAACGCAGTTAAAGTGCCAAATAAACGCCCAGAAGAGAAATAGGATATAAGTAGAATGTGTAAATTATATCATAGGCAATGATTGATTACACATGGTCTAAATTTAATGTTGTCTCCGAATTAGTTGCTCGTGTACAGACCCGAATCTACGATTTTTTTAATCGGGGCAGGAACTTGTTGCGGCGTCCTTCCTTTTGGCGCCGCCCTGACATTGGCGCTGCCCCAGATCCGGGTCTGCTCATGTAAACATTTAATAAAAGCTTATTCTTGCAGTATAATCCCTTAACAGACATTGACTAACGTTCTTAATTTCTTTTTCAGTTACTTCTGCGCATTCTGTCCCTCGAATGTTGTCCCATCTAATTTGGTGTTTATGTCAAATCATGTGGTTAATTGAAATCGTTGAGCCTTGTCATCGTACTAAACTTGAGGTAGGTGAAAAGTAATGTGGAATATTTCAATTACGCTCCATTATTTATAAAGATTTTGTTTCAGTTATTTGATTTAAAAACTTTTCGATCTATTATGTTATCTTTTCTTTTCTGCGAATCTTAGGTACCATATTATCTATGGAACAGGTTGATTATTTTCCAGATAGACCGTACCAAATTGCTGATCAGTAAGTTGTCCACCGTTATGAAAGGCCAGCCTGCCTTAGTAGAGTTAGAGAAACTCGCCCAGCATATTGAGATGAATGCAGTAGGATACTCACCGATGGGCGTTTGTAACCTGTCTCGTTCTTTGATTGCAACGGTAAGATAATAAATAAAGTTTGGACGTCTCCATAATGTTACTAAAAATTACTTCATAATTTGGTGTCATTGGCGAGATGGACTCGTGGCCATAGTGTGGTGATGCGATCGCCATCAGAGCGCTTAGTGTAAGTTTTTTTGACGTATACGTTCACTGTCGATCGTGAGCGCGTTAAGATTTTAGTATGGAATCCGGCACAGCGCCCCTAGCGGTAACTATCAAGAACTACAAATCTCCATACAAATTCTTAACGTGCTCACTAGTGAACGCGTTAACGTAAAACTTATACTTACCACTCAGGACACCGTTGGACTTCGCATCCATCGAATAAACAAAAATAAAAAAAATTAAACAAGCTGTTATTTGGTGTATTGTATTTTACAAGTTAAGACCTTTCATCTGATATCAATATTGCGTGGGTTGTTCAGAAATATATACGGCGCCATCGTGACCGTACCGAGGTTATATGTTTGTGTGTGACGCCGATCTATGTTTTTATGTATGTTCATCGACCGCTTTACAAAATTCTTTTTGATTCTATATTAGGAACTTACTGATTTGATTTCGATAAAATTAAAATGGATCACCTCGGTCAATTAAGCTATTGAGAGAACTGGTCCCATTTAAAATTTTATTTTAAATTGAAAAAGAAATATTTTACATTTAAATTTTATCGAAATCGAATCAGTAGTTTTCCTTTTATAACAAAATAAAATATGCTTTTCACAATATTTCACCGAAATATTTAGGTGATGTGTATTGTATACTACAGCGCTGAGTCTATTCCACAATTTAACTAATGTATTTGTAATAACATTAGTTAAATTGTGGAATAGACTCAGCTCTGTAGTATATGCCGTAATGAAGATACTTATGTTAACTTATATAGATACTGCCAAATTAGTATTTTCAGTTACTTCCATAGTGTAATGTCGTAAGGAATCTCATTGTGGGGATATGCTGCCTATTTTTTTGCTTCAGAAAAGAGCAATAAGATCAATTTATAATCTAAGGATTAGGGATTCTTTAAGGAAGAAATTTAAAGTAATAGATATAATGACTGTTGCTTCTCAATACATATACGAGAATTAAATGTACGTTCGTAATATATTACTATTATTATGTAAAAGTGGAAACAACACAAAGGTCTTTGGAAACGATACGCAGGCCCCGGGCTATAAATGGGTAGACTGGGCATGTGCCCAGGGCGCCAAATTTTTGGGGGCGCAAAATAAAAGAGATAATAAAAATAAATGAGAGAAACAAATTGCCTTAAAAATATAATTTTAAGTTGTAATCTTTGCTGGAAGTGTGAATTATGTAGAAATACATGTTTACAGTGTTGTGTATGAAAGACGTGTTTTCTTGTTATTTCCTTCATAAAATGATACCGGGGCCTGACGATACGTATCGTTTTTAGGGTTTCGTACCCTAAAGGTAAAACGGAAACCTATTACTAACACCTCGCTGTCTGTCTGTCACCAAGCTGTATCTCATGAACCGTGACAGTTGAACAACAAATCGTAGAAACCAGAATAAAATAAATATATAAGGGGGCTTATTTATTTGTGCGCGAGTCCGACCCGCACTTGTTCGGTTTAATAAACGCTTACATAAATAATATTTTGTGTCGTTGTCCGATTGCCTGCCCTACGAACAGATAGATATGTTGTAATCTTGTACTATTTAAACTCTGTTTTCTTTTCAGATATTGACGAACGTAGCGACTTACCTCATCATAATAATTCAATTTCAAAGTACGGATTCGGATTAAAATTTACTATTATATTAAGAAAAACTTGCTATGGCTTCGTATCATTAATAGGAAGGGTAGATGATTAGGTTTTGACCATTTTTAGATTTAAGAGTCACGAGAGAGATCTTTGACAAATGACAGCTGTCAACCGTATCACTACAGCAACAGTATTTGCCACGACGTAAAGTTTAAAAATCGTTCACGGTATAGTACGAGTTAAATTTCTATTCCGATTCGAAAGAATGCTAAATAATCTTTAATTTATTACAGCATATGTCGATATTGCCACGGCAGTCCCTTCCCCGGTAATACTAAGTTTTTTATTAAGTACAGTAAGCCATGAATCCCCTGTATATATTTTTATAAATGGTTATTTTAATAATATATGAGGACCGCTTGTGTCGATGTTTGTATTACTAGCTAGATAATTATGTATATTATACTTTATAATTGAAAGTCAAATGGTCCCTAACAAAAATCGCAAGCGTAATGTTACTTATTTAATATCATGGCTAATTTTGGTTTGTTTGTCTCTCAGATAGATTTTGAAGAATATTAAACACGATTTTTTTTATTTGTTGTGCATTAATAAATTACGGCGATACAATGAGTTGAAAAATCGCATGACGTCACACCTTTGTACATTTTCTACCTACTACACAAATTGACATATAAAAAATTGTATCTAATATTTTTCTATTATCTGACTCACGGACTAAATAAAAATGCTTTTTTTTTTAACCTTGAGTTTGAGCGTGATCACAAGTTTCTATCCTTTGGTGGTCACTACCTTGGCTGAGGTACGAATCGTTTGTTCTTATTACACTAATATTAATTTACTATTCACCAAAACAGTATTTAGAACTCTTGAAATTGTCGATTTTTCCTTATTAAACTACATTTTTCATTTTAAATAAAGGTTTTATGTGGCTTGAGTTTTGATTTATTTATACCGGTTTTAGTGAAAGTTGAGTAGAGGATACCGATGAGTTTTGAAACACATGTGAATTGAAGTAAGTACCAAAGCAGTTGTACGATAATTCCAATTTACTAATGGCTTTAAATATTTGAGAAATCAAGTTTTTTTCAATTCATGTCCGTTTTAAAAACCCTTTGATTTTCCCCTATGTTAGTTTTACGATTGATGGATGAAAAATCAAATCAAATCTATTTACATTAGCTCACTGTTATATATTGGGATCTGAAATTTATTATTGATTAAATATCCTATTCTATTCATCTCAAACAAATTAAAGTCGCCGCTGCTGGTGCTCAGACCTTCCCTATGGATGCAATCGATTCAAATCGAATAGAATGGCCCGTCATGCGGTCCCAGTGAGTATTGGTGTGTTTTAACGAATGCAGATGCATCTGGGACCGACGGCCTTACGTGAGTTCCAATACATTGAATAGCTAAACCATAACCATAAACAACCGTATCGCAGACCGAGCGTGCTCATCACTGCGCCATTAAGTTTCTCCATTCTATTATATTATTTACACAAATGTATCTTTAAGTGAAACATTATCAATAAACACTGTTATTTACTGTCAATTAAGTCGATTGAAAAGTGGGCACACGACGACGAAATTGGGAACACAATAATCGGCCAATATTTGTTACGTTTACTTAATTTTAAACCTTATTTCTCAGACATTAAAGCCACAAATCGAAACAAATATCGTCAGTTTCTTGCTTCGCTTTTCCGTTAGGCTCTTGGAACACAATGATCTTTTAATTCGTTATGAAAAAAAAAAAACAGTTGTACTTATTTATTACTCAGGCACCAGTAAAACCAGAACTTGTAGTCTCAGTTTTTCTTAGTCTTTCTTTACATAACATCATTTAAAAAATTTGTGAATATTTGAAACGTATGATAATTGGCTTAAAGGGGAATTTTGAAGGATTTACTAATTAATCTGAATTGCGTGTAACCACTTAATATAATTGCAGCTTTCATTATAGCAGAGCGTAATGCAGTGTCCTAATTGGCTCATATAATCAAACAGTGCGATTTCTTCGTGCGACGAAATTAAACGAAAGTTATTGAAGTTCTCAAATTCAATTCTCCGTACGAACACAAGAAATGTATATGATTGTAGCAATCATCCGATGAATGTGATCTATTTTTGAGAATCAAAAGGATCTATTTTTTCATTAGTCGCACGATGGTTTTCATTTTACGATCAAATCATATTACGACCGTTGCCGTATTAAAATGACTATTTAGAACTTTGACGAAACTCCATTAGTATGGAGAATTAATGAGTATAAATTGAGTTCGCACCTAGTACTAATTTTTTTGTATTGGAATCCTTAGTTCATTTAACTGAGGCAGGTATCGTTGTAGAAAAAATTAATAAAAAAATAAAACATTCCGATCGATTGACAATTTCGTTTAATCGCGATTGAAGAATCTCGGTAGTGTGAGATTAATTTTTGTTATCGATATGAACAAATCAACACCAATTACGGTAAAAGCTGGTAGATGCAATTCATTAGAATGTTCGGTGTCTGGAACACTGGCTCTGGTGTTTCGTGTGTCGCAACTGGTAGGGATGGGACCTCTGACCTTCAGGAAAAGGGGTAATGGTTGGGTTGTGTCAATATCACCTTTTCTTTGCATGGTCACTTATCTTGCTGCTACTGTAATGAGTAAGTTATTTTATATATATTTCATGTTTATGAGATCAATATATACCGTAAAGTAGTATCGTCAGATCACGCTTCAATTTCGCAGCCAAGTCGTCACATAAATGCTGCGTTTGATATACATAAACCCCTTTCAAAATGATGAACGAATCAAAAATGCCTACAGAAAGTAACAATTGATTGAAATCTGTAATTATGTTTGAATATGATCTTAGATCAATTTCGTCTCTGCATTATGCAAAGTTTTATTTCTATGTGTAAGATAGAAATTATAATGTGTAACCACCACAAGCTAGTGGTTAACTTTTACGTGTTATACATATACTGAATAATATTTTATTTTGGGTAACGATCACCGTACAGATTTTACTCGATCGAGTTATTTAAAAGGGTGCCTAAAACACGATTTTATTCAATTTCTGTTGATATTATACTATCAAAATAAAGATTTAATTTTTGACACCGATTGTTCTCTTGCAGATATAGCAGCAATGACAGGGTTACTCCTTGATCTGCAAGCTAAGCCCTCGCATTCTGCTCGAGTCCCATCGCCAACGAAGAAGTTCGTATGGATATCCGATTACATAGTCGTCATGCTAATAGCGAGCGTAGCAATGTACGGCGCGCCCAAGCGTTTGAAGACCATTGTAATGTGTTTGGCGAGGCTCCAAAAGGTACTATTTAGAAACTTTTAATCGTACTCTTATACCGTAGAAGTGAGCATTTATTAAGTTTTCAACAATGAAATCCTTATTATTATTCGGATACTGTAACCTACCAGAGGTCGGCTACCTACAGCTTGCAAACCTGGTGCTAATATTTAAACGTATGTTTTGGTTCTACCTTTAAAAACCATGTGTTTAATGTTTATAAATCTGATTATGAATTGAGTACCATGCTTATCACTAGGTCCTTATTTGAATTAAAATCATGAAGCGTGGGTAGAAGCACCAAGCTTCAGGTAAAAAGGAAAAAACAAAAAAGAACTTGTTTTAACAATCTTCAGTTTTTTAATCTCTAGGGTAATAATACAGATTCGCTCGCTATGGTCCTTGTGACTTATATTGGAAGGACTTATCTTTATAGTTGAAAAAGAGATTTAATGTCAAGTTCGTGGGATCAGAGTATCACGGGCCGGGCAGCGGCTGGCAAGAGTGTCATCTCCGGTCAGCAGCACTGGAGAAAATCTCGACACGTAAGGCGCAGAGTAGCGTAGGTCAGGCTGGTTCCGGTGGAAGAACCCTGTGAAAATAAATATAGACCCTGAACAGAATTTCAATAGTCCAGCTACCTGTGGTCTAGAAAAATAAGATAGCTGCAGTTGCTATAGCTTCTATAAAACTACCCGATAAAAAAAATATAAACATTTAAATCAGTGAAGTAGTGCCGCGCGAGAGGTCGTTTATATACTCATTCACCATCAGAAGTGGTGCTGCGTCTGCCTACCTCCATACTTTAATTGTTACTGGTGTACCTAAAATTACGATATTTTAATTATTATATTTCCCGAAATATTAAAATTGGCATTTATTTGTATCAAAACGTAAAAAGAATTGATGCGCTTAATCAACTAAACTTACGAAGGAGGAATAATTTATTTAGTAAACTGTTACAATCAAATATCTGACAATTGTTTACAAATCCTTAGGCTTTCTATCTCAAAAAGGTGGCCGAGTTTATTTTAGCTAGCGATTTTTAGGACTTAAAAGACGCAGACAAATTTATGTTTTTAATTTACCTTGACATTTGATAGAATTAAATTTTTTGCATAGTCTTGTAAGTCAGATGACAGTGCAATATTAAGTTGTCAGAAAGCTGTTATGATGATGAAGTCGGAAGATGGTCATAGCAACTTTATGATGAAATGGCGCAACTATATCGTGTTTGGGCTCTTTAGATCCGTTTTTATGAGAAGAACAACATATAGAGACAAATCTTTATTTTTTTAAAGCAAGCTTTTTTTTATGCGCACTAAAACGTAAATAAATAAATTGTAAACATTCAAAGTACTTATAATCAAAATTTTCTCTAAAAGTACTTGACATGAATAGCTTGTGGCGGATAATATTTTCTTGTCTCCAATTTCTTTAGCGCTACAAGCTTTTCAAGTCAATTACTCTTAAGGAATATTATGATTATAACTACTTTAAATGTAATAATTTAGAATTCATTTATTTTAAACTTATTTTATAATATTTTTTTTTCCTACTGTAATTTAATAACAAATATCATTTTGGTTTGATTATAATTTGTTTTGGTTTTAGCTAAATGTTCCTGACCACAGTAACTCCCCAGGTGAACGGAAATCTAGTGCCATTTTGACGATATTCCTGATATTTGTCGTCTGTGTATTGACATCGGATTACAGTGTTTTTATAAGAGAAATCTTACTTCTAAATAAAGAATGTAAGAAGCAAACAATAACATTTTCTTTAGAAAAAATCCCTGTGCTATTCTGCCAACATAAAATCTGTCTATAAAATTGACTATTAAGAACAATAGTTCCTGCCAAGAGAACAAAATTATAATATCTATCGCAGTCTTTATTAATAAGCTTTAAAGACTTTCCGTTTTTCCGAAGACAATGCTTTTTGCAGTTAAAGCTGCATGTTTCTACGCGTTCTACTACTTCGCTTATTTACTGCTAGTACTTTTGGAGATGGAGTACATATTTACTACCTTGGAGGTGTCTAAGTCTTTGAGAGGTTTGAATAAGTTGATTGAGGAATTAGCCCATTTGTTGAATATGAACTGTAAGTATAAATAATTTATAGTATTTCCCCTTTGTCTGAGGTGCATCTCTATATACACCTCAGATATAGGGTAAATACGGGCCAAATAAATAAAGATTTTTTTACGAGCGCCGATGTAAATGGGCTGCCATAATCATCATAATTTAACATGGTTAATAAAGAACCAACTCAAGATTTTTTTATTCAACTTGTTAATTTTAATTTTGCTTTGTTTTAAACATTAAAAAATCATACACCGCAAAATATGGTAATATAAAATCCGGTCTTACGTAGCTGAAGGGCGCCCAGGGCTGAGGTTTTTAATTAATCTAGATTTTATGATATATTCTCCTCACAAATGATATTCACAAAAATTTTCTTAATTAGAGAGCCTGTAAGATTATTCATAGATTTTATGTTTTATTTAAATGTATATTTTTTAATTGTATTTTTAGGTTCACCAGACAATAAAATTAAATCACATTATGAAATAAAGATGCCTAACAAATTTTTGAACTCGATGATTGATTCAATGACTACAGTTGATACTGGTAATTATTTTTTAATAAAACATTATAGCATTATCTACTAATAAACCATAAGAAAATTGATAAACATGACGGCGGCATGAAAATAATTATTGGATTCGTTTGAGAGCATTTAAATTTTGGGACGTAGGTATTTGGTAAGAATTAATGGTGGGTGCGATATGAAGGAACATCGCGGTTGCGCCTGTGGATTGTTAGCTCTCGTTATTGGCTAATATTAAATGAATAAACGATCGGATTATGTCGTATGAAATAGCGTCAGCGTGGTCGGGAGAAATGATACTATGTTTCAGGTTGTAGATCTCTTCTTTAACTAAACAATATTCGTCTTATATACTACTTAAATCTAAGAGGGGATATTAGGGTACGTGATATGTAACTGCTAAGGAAGCACATTCATCTAACGTGAATTATTTGCATATTAGTGCATTCCATCCAAATCACGTTTATAACTTGATTCTTAATACTCACATACTACACGTACGACGATGTAATAGACACACGCATTTCTTTAGTGTCTCAATGTCCCAATGGGACTCATCGCACGATCGCACCAATATAATAATCGTGATGAGTTTTGACCGACTGATCGTGCGATCGTGCAATGAAATCAAATAAAACATAAAACATAGTCGCATTTTTTTCCTCATGTTTTGCTCGTTCTAGTTGTGATTTGCCTGCACAACTATTTTCTCGACCATTCAACCTTATATAATTTTAATTTGAAGCTTAGTACATACCTATTTTAGTTTTTAATTAAAGTTCACTTTATTTAACAAGTATCATGTTAATTATCAACTGATATATAAACTATGTATTCTATTTTTTAATAGGATTCACAATTACATTACCCTCGAAGACGATGAGTGATATTCGGCGACTCGCATCAATGTACCCGGAGGTGTGCGAGGTGGCGAAGGAGATGGATAGCTGTCACGACGTCGGGGTTCTACTGCTACTTCTCTCGTTCCTTCTGCATTTGGTTATTACGCCCTACTATCTAATTGTGAAGATCACCTGTTCGTAATTTTTATAACAAATAATTTTTATATAACGCAAACATCCTTCGAATTCTGAGTACGATTCCCGTACGACTTTCTGTTTCCGATTAGATTATATTAGTAATATTTACACTCACACAGTTTAAAGTTTGGTCCATGGTTTAAAGTGACATGACCGATATAATTTCAAATTTTAATGGACAGTTGCGCAACTAGGTAGACATCACGTTCCCACAATATTTTCAACCGTCCAAAATTTTCAATTGAACTTACTAGGTGTTAATCAAAATTCAATCGGAGTGAATTATTAGTTTTGGATAACCTAAATGCTCTCAAGATAACTTTAAAAGGAATCTTACCAATGTAACGTTTGTGACAAACGTAAGAAATTTCTTTTTTTTTGTAACGAAGCTTCTAGGTGCTTGGATATTGCGGCTGGAGTGCAAGTGTTGTGGTGCGGACTGCATTTAGCATGTACTTTCGTAGCTGCCGAGCCAAGTTATCGGACCCAACTTGAGGTTAGTATTTTTAAATCAAATTCGATAAAGGATGATTCTTTCAAAACTGAAATGACAGGAGCTCTTTAAAGAACATAGTTTTAATAACAACACGTTTGCTAATTGATTCATGTTTTCAGGTTAAGCGCATCAATTCTTTGATAGCCCGTATGATCCTCCAATCCAACAATGGCTTAGTACTCAAAGAGCTGAAGAAGTTCTCTACTTGTCTATTATTAAATGAGATCTCGTACAGCCCACTCGGTCTTTGTTCTGTGACACGGTCTTTGATAACCTCGGTGGGTGTTGTTTGACTATGAGTTGATACGATGAGTTTTGAAACGGTTTCATCGCGTGTTTTCAGACATTTTGGATTCTTTACAGGTTTAATGAACACGAAAGCCATAAAGGATCCGAAAAACAAAGTGTTAGGCACTAGTATAAGAAAAAAGTAAATGATTATTTTTATTTTTCAGATTATAGGAAGTGTAGCTACATATCTGGTGATTATAATTCAATTCCAGCTTTCAGAACAATGAAGATACCTTTACCACAAGTTTTCGTTATTTAAAATACCTAACTATATTATATTATTGACTTTATAATGAAATAAAATGTAGTTTTGATAATAGTTAATAATGTCTCCTTTTAGATAATAAATATCTATATCAAGAAACATTGCTTTTTTTATAGCTGTAATACTTATTATTTTACCTGTAGGATCACCACTGTAGGCTAACAGCACTTGGTCCGCAGACACACGTAAAACAATAAATATATATTTTTTAAATAATACATTCAATGATAGAAACCGAAAACGAACCTGATGAAGAAAGGGTATAACTGTCATTTACGTGCGTTTTCTTAATGAACTACGATCGTACGATCTAGAGATACAATTATTCGTACGAAGAAAAGACAAAACACGTACTTAATCCTTTAAAGTCTTTTTAGATGCGTTTTAGTGTCCTAAATTAAGCTAATAGGTTCATCGTATCTGCGTTTTTAATCGTACGATGGGTTATTTGATCATGCAATATTTGCGCCGTCCCACATCAACGCTAAAGACGAGGATTGTATCATTCGATGGGCATCACCTGCAATTTATAAAATAAACCATATACCTCAATATATGAATTTATTTTATGATCGAACTTAACAAAAGTTTGAACGAGTTTAAGATTTAGTACATAGTTTTTTTTATAGCAGGAGGATCCTGCAATAGAATATTTTTGTTTCGAGCAGACGTTAAATATCTTCAAAATCTATGTATGATGCTTGCACGAAAATGTATAGCTTGTCAATATTGGTGGCAAATCCGTTGCACAAACTATATTAAATTTAGCTTTATTAAAAATATATATTGTAAAATAGGAAAGTGTATATAAGCCACGGTAGTGGTCCACCAAAACCTACTAAAAAGACAAACGAAGAGCAAAGGCACTAACTAATTTTTCTCGAAACGGTTCGTCGAATTTTGGACCATCATAATTTATGTCAGGATAATATAATAAAAACCCTGATTTCGATACTTATAAACTGATGATCATCAAAACCTACAAGGCACTTCCTGAAGTCGTAGAAAACTAATTTTTGGTATGTAAGTATTGGTACACAGACAACAGAAAAATCTAAAACTTGGAACTTTTACCCTCCATCCTCTTAAATTAGGGGGTGTAACTTTCTATGAGACTTCCAAATGATTTCTATGAAATTGGTTTAGTATAATAACTCCTTGTTATAAATAACTGGTCTTGTATTATACATAAAAACCTTCCTTTTGAATCACCCTATCTATGAAAAAAAAACCGCATCAAAATCCGTTGCGTTTTTTAAAAGATTTAAGCATACATATGGATATAGGGACAGATAAAGCGACTTTGTTTTATACTATGCAGTGATAAAACATGTATTTCAGGATTTTCCATTAATAACCCCCAATCCTTTAAGTTAGGAGAAGGAAGTTTGTATGGATATTCTCATAGAAACTTAATTTCATGCTAGTACGATTCAAATGAATATCTACACTGATTTTTTTATTACAAATTAAAAATATATGTTACAAGCACCTCTGATGTGCAAGAATTAAAAATTATTATAAGAAAATTACAAAATAAAGTGAAATCCCATCAAAAACATTTTCATGTAAAGTGTTGCCAAGCCGATACCATATGACTCGCGCTGTCAAAAAGTTATCAGATCTCTTAGAGCCAAGATTCTAACTCTACAAGCACTTACTTTATAAACACTTACCTTAAACGTAGCTTGGCCGTTTCGTTTCTACAAGAAAAACTAGAAAGTAATGAACGGTGAAAAAATTTTTCACCTTACATCTATTTAATGGTAGCGGACCGACCGTGCCCATGGCCGAGCCAAAAAAATCGTGCGATAGTTTAATTGTTGTTAAATACCTTTTTTGGCTTTTTTTATCGTGGGTTGATATCACGAAATCGTATACTATGTTTTCGTTAGATACAATCTTAATCAAACGATCGTACTACAGGACTCGAAAAGTTCAGTAATTAACCAACTCGTAAGAAGCTCCACTACAGCAAAGCTTTTGACTCCTTAATAACAAAATGTGGGAAGCGTTACAAGAACAAGGCATTGATAGCAAATACATAAGAATAATAAGGTGTATATGCAAACACAGTATGTCATGTGTACAGTTGGAAAGGAAAGGGGAGCTCTTCAATATACAAAAGAGAGTAAGACAAGGAGATCCACTGTCACCCAAACTTTTCTCTGCTGTACTCGAGAAAGTATTTAGAGGTCTGACCTGGGATAGATATGGACCAAATATAAAAGGGCTCAAGCTCACTCACCTAAGATACGCTGACGATATTGTGCTGTTTGCCTCACCTTCTAAAGAATTGAACATTATGATTAATGAATTGGCTAAGAGAAGTAAAGAGGTGGGGCTTCAGTTAAATTATGGAAAAACCAAGGTAAAGACGAATGGACCTAAGGATATCATAACCGTGAAAGATAATGTGATAGAATATGTAGAGGACTATATATACCTCGGTCAAGTAATATCACCACAAGAGATAATAAATAAAGAAATAGAAAGAAGAACTGTAAATGCGTGGAAAAGTTACTGGAGCATAAAGGAAGTAATGAAAAATAAAGATATCCATGTACAACTAAAAAGTAAACTTTTTAATATATGTATATTGCCTGTTCTGATGTACGGAAGTCAAACCTGATCCTTAACCAACAAAAATATCAACGCTTTAACAACCTGCCAACGCTCAATGGAGCGCAGTATGTAAGGAATAAAAAGAATTGATAAACTCAGAAATGACATAATAAGGAAAAGAACTAAAGTTCATGATTTCGCTGTGAATATCAAACGGGTAAAGTGGAGATGGACAGGTCACATGATACGAGGAATAGGGAAATGGAGCGAAAGAGTCACTGCATGGTACCCAAGAAATGGAAAAAGACGAAGAGGTAGACAGAACAAGAGGTGGGCTGACGATTTCAAACCAATTGCTGGAGTGACCTGGAGTAGAGTAGCCAAAAACAGAAATGAGTGGAAGAGGCTGAAGGAGGCATTTGCCAAATGGCAAACAGAAAGTCACCAATATTAAGTTAAAAGTTTTTCAACAATGTACATTTGTGTATTTATAATTCTGGAATAAAAGGCTATAAATAAATAAAATAAAATAAATAAATAAGAAGCTCCACACATTTTTGGAGAGTGTTTGAATTTGGGTGTTTGTTATTCAGAATCTAAATTTAAACGATCAAATCTTTCCTCTTTATAATATTTGAATAAATATCTGAGATTTATCAAACGTCACAAAAATCGTAAAAAGAGAAATATTCAGTTCATAGCCCCTCTAAAATTAGTTGGGGCGCCTGTTGCCCGGGGCCCCTTTTCATTGTTACGGCTGATGTAGTCGTAGCTACGCCCCTGTGGTCAACATTAGAAATTTTAAATCCAGTAACGATGTATTGGAATGATTAATAGCAGTCAGAACAAATATAATTACTTGATTATAGATAACTTATAGTTTTAACAAGAGTTTTTATTTTAAGAAATCTTATTGATGAGTGTACAAAGTGTCATCCTACATCGATTGTTCGGAGAAACCAGTATTTCTTACAGGAAATTATCATTTTACACATCTTTTAATACTTAATCCAGTATTTAAAAATAGATGTGAAGGATGCCTGTTTCTCGAATACAGGGTTAGTATATGTTTTGTTCATATAGTCTTAGTTTTAAATTATACTAGGTAGTTGTTTTCCCGATACTACGCACGCGTAAATTATAGCTTGCATTAACGCCATATGATGTAGCTACCCGTAGTAAAAGAATTTTTAAAATCCTATAAGAGATTTGGAGCGTATTCGATGCAAACAAACGAATTTTTCCACTTTATAATATTAGTACTACCTACTTTATAACTATCTATACATAAACATATGTCGTGTTTGATTTGTCTTGACAAGGACATTGGTCCGGTATAATATCCAGAGGTTGATGATGGAACTGTGGTTAGTGTCTTTATTAAAAATCTATTGCAACCTCTTTCCAAGGTATAGACATGATAGCGGTTTATATAATTATATAACGTTGAAAGGCGTAATCGCTTTCGGAACGAATAATGGTTTGAATGATTAAGAAACATAGTAAAAACTTAGTAACTTAAACCCAAAGTAATATTAGGTCCTTACATATGAAAATTGGTGATTGATATGGGAGGAAGAAAAGGTCGAATATTTTTTAATATAATATATTTATTTAATCAAAGTATATACCATTGTTATCTATGCACCTTTGCCATCTCATAGATAGTTAATATGGGTCATTCTCAGCCGGCTCAAATAAGCGTGTCCGGGTCGAAATGCAGTACGAAATGGATAATTAAGAACGTGATATTATTTTCTATGATAGATATGACCGAATATAAGGTGAAGCTTGTGTTATTTTTGAAATAAATAAAATGCAAGTTAGTAAAAAAAATCAAAAACTTTGAAAATATTGACCTCGGTGCCGCGTCCGGCCCCCGATTGCGGTGAAAATCATTTTTTATATTTTTTTCTCCAATGTATGTCACTACTTTGTAAATGTTCACAAATAACTAGATAGTTATTAATTCATTTCATAACATTTGTACGCCATTATAGGCCTCGGTAGACAAGTTACAACTAGTTGTCTTCACGTCCGATGTTTAGAGTTGATATCAGTGGTACGCATAGATCCGTTCATAACTCCTTAATCTAGCGAGTTCAAGAATATTGGTTGAAGTGATAGAAACTGACAGTCGCACTGCATGGATGGCAAGAATAACACGTCTGTGCGTCGCCGTGGAACTCCTTTAATGAAGGTACGTAATCGTTTTCGGTGGCTTGGTAACCCTTAGAATTGATTTCGGTAAATTCATTTTACTCGTAAGTATTTGAGGTAAAATGTTTAAACTATGATAATAATATGTGTTGTGTGTATTCGAAATCAATAAAAGAGATCCATATTAAAAATTCTTGTCATTTTTTAAGATATCTAGAATTTTGTTAATTATTTTGATTTCAGTGGAATTGACTTCAGTGTTTTCGGTGGAAATAAGCACACCGAAATCAATTTTAAAACCACCGAAATCAATCAATATAATTTATTTACATTTCAATGTTGTTTTATATAATGTTTTCATCACCTCTCATCCTGTTTCAGTATTGTGATAATGGCTGATTCAAAAGAAGATCGGTTGGTTAAAAAAACGACTTCGAAAAGCTCGCATCAAGAGTGTCCCAGAGCTTTACGCAGTGCACAAGGAGAAAGATATGCGAAAATATTATAAAAGGAAGAATGAAGGAAAGATAGCCTGTAAGTGTAATTTCAAAGCCATTTATCAGATCATCAGTTCGTATAATTGAAAAAGAGTTTCCTCTGACTCCAAAAGTTATCAAGAAACTAAGTCCCAGAGTTATTATACGTAGACTTAAATATCGCATGAACAAGATATTACAGTT